GATTGACCCCAGGGGTGCTTATTTTTTATTTTGAGACTGGGTTTCACTAAGTTCTTAGTGTCTCACTAAGTTGCTGAGGCTGACCTTCAACTTGGGATCCTTCTGTCTTACAGACTTCTGAGTTACTGAGATTATAGGCATATGCCACCACCCCTGGCTGTGACTTTTTTCATTGAACCTATTGAATTGTGAAATAACTGTATAGCTCAAATACAACTGAATTTCTTAAAAATTAGCTGATTTCATTTGTATTTCTCAAATGATGCTATACTTTATACAAAAAAGCTATATTTGAATCAGTAAAAATAAGTTTATGAACTCAATATAGTTTCAAAAATTAGAATATTTGATGCTGTGAAATATCTTAAAAGAGCTTAGCTCACTACAGGTCTAAAATTTCAATGTCTTTCATATGTTTAGGTTCTGGTCTTTAAAATGAATCAAGGAAAAAGGAAAGCCGAATTTCTTTGTAAGATGTCTTTACTGACATAATCATGAATATATTAAGAGTTCTTACCTGGAATCAACTTCCTTTATGGATTCACTGTTTCTAAAAAAAAAATCTACTTTCTTGAAATTTGAAAAATTTGAAATATTTTTGAAGTGAGTAAAGGACAGTTTCTCAATCTCTGGTGACAAACATTGCTTTTTTCTTTCCTGTAAATGGTCCTATATTTCGATGTAAAAAAATTGCAATCAATGAAAGTTTAAGTATTTAGGCAAAATTTATAGGAAAAACAAAGAAGTGCTTTTGCTTACAATATTTGCATTTCCAGCTTGTTGAGAAAATTGTGTCATGGAGGATATATCAAACTTGGACATAGCAGAATTTGACAAACAAATGGCTGGCTTCTTGTGTGACGAAACAAAACTAAAAATTAAAATTAATTATTTGTAAAATATGGCAAATGGGAAAACAAACCATTTTAATTTGCATTAATAGTGATTCTTTGGGAAGTACTATTTCTCATATTTATCACAAAAATTGATGCTGTTTCTTATACTCAAGGAGAACTTGGTGTATTTCCTTTCATTTAGACCATATCATAATTTATATATTCCAAATTTGATAATAGTACTAGTTTTAAGGGGCTATAGAAATAATCGTTCAACAACGTTTTAAAAATTTAGTCTTATGCTTAACTGTCCATCATCTGAAATTCTGTTTTGACAACAGCACTTTGAGAAACACACGTTTAACATTAAGAGGGTTAAATTCACCAATACCATATATCTTCTCTGACACCTAATGACTTGATCCTCATCTCCAATTATGTCTCAAAAAATATAAAATTGTAAGAATAACAAACCAAAGTTTTTTAACACTTGCCTGTTTGACATTTCTCTTTGGAATTTGCTCTTTGACTGTTGGAAAGGTAGCTTACTTCCCCTGATACTTGAAATCAAAGTGTTTTCAGACCCTATATAAAGAGATAATAGTTTCAAATAAAATGCCAGTAAAGGACTGAATGAAGTTTTTCACAAGTTCTATCAGGGAGCTGTCCAACAGATATGATCTGGTTAATAAAGGAATGTCTAATTTTTTTCAATATCAAATTTAATTTGCTTAAAGTGAGGGTGTAAAGATAAAGGAGTAAAATTATAAAACATAAAGGTTAGCTTGTTAGTTACTATGTTAAAAGGTCTTCAAACCACCACTATTTATTTATTTACTTATTTTTAAAATT